AGATTGTTTAAGGTATCAAGATTGTTCAAGGCTTTAGCGTTTAGGGTTTAGGGGCTTTAGGGCTCAAGATTGTGTAAGGCCTCAGGGTTTAGGGCTTAGGGGCCTTAGGGTTCAAGATTGAGTAAGGCTTTAGGGTTTAGGGCTTAGGGGCTTTAGGGTTCAAGAGTGTTTAAGGCTTCAGGGCTTGGGGGCTTCAGGTATCAAGAGTGTTTGAGGCTTTAGGAACCCTATACCCTAAACCCTGAACTCTCCCGGCGAAGTTTGCGGCTTCAGGGCTCCGGGGCCTTAGGGGTGTCGTGCTTGTTCACTTCAGTATGTCGAGTTCAGCCATATGTTGGGGTGTTCTCTGCAGGATTTTCGGGTTGACGGTTTTGAGTTGTTGGTCTAATATAGGAGCCTGAATAGTTACCTTTAGAGCCTACCGGGTTCCCTGCTGCATGGAGCAGCTCTTGTGCGGCGTATTTAGCATTGCAGCCGTTCTTTGGCTTCGAGGCTTGCAGTTGGTAAGTTTGGGCCTGTTCAGGTGTACCCAAGTTCCACGGGTTTTTCTGGTGTCTGGAAGGTAGGGGTTCCCACTATATAAGGAAAGGTGTTGGGTCATGTTTTTGCCCAGGCGTCTTCGTAAGCATGGTGTTTCCTCAGGGGGTTTTCGCTGGGTCCTTGGAGGGCACCTTTTGGGGTGCCGCTGCAACGGGGGGCGTGGGGTGGTCGCCCCCTGACCGCCTCTGACCGGTGCGGGCCTGGCCTTTTTCTGTGGGTCCCCTTCTCAACGTTGGCGCGAATCTCAACCCTAAACCCTAAACCCTAAACCCTAAACCCTAAACCCTAAACCCTAAACCCTAAACCCTAAACAGTAGTTGGGTCGTCTTCGGGAGGGGGGCTTCGGGCTTCGTTCAGAAGCTGGGTCGGCCTCGGGAGGGCCCAACGGTAGGAATCCGATTTTTCCGATGCACTCCCGAAACATTCCTATCACGACCACATCCTATTTAGTCGGAACACCTCCGCACCGAATACCAGAAAAAAATAACCCTGACAAGTCCTTTTTTTTTAATTCTGGCGTCAATACACTATGCTCTGAATGGTTTTCCAATGCAAACCCACCTACGCAAGACAGAATACACAACCCCATACCCTCTACACGGAAATCCCACGTCTAAACCTAGCTTACAGACAAAGCCACATTAAAAAGCTCCAAACCCCGCATACCCGAAGTCCAAAAGCCAAACTTGCACTTTCGTACCAAACTGTGCGCAAATTGTCACCCCCCTAAACCCTTAGACAACAACAAGCAAAGGACACGAACATGGAGACCCTGAACCTTAATCAGGCAGGCAAGCTCGAAACTCTAAACCCGAAGCCACAATCAAACTGTCCATGTTCCATGACAAGGCGTGCGCAGACCGTTCCTAGAGCTGCATTTGGTGGTGACGTTTACCGGGCATCTTAGGGTGTTATAGGACTTGACGAAACCCTAAACCCTAAAAACCCCTAAACCCTAAACCTTAAACCGTTTAGGGTTTAGGGTTTAGGACGAACTTTACAAGTGCAGGGCTGCAGACCTTTGGGGCCTTGTCGGTAAGTTTTCGGGTTTGCCGTCCAGGGGTTATGATGTCTAGGGGTACAGTTGATGATATGGGTAGGTTTCTAGATTAGGGGTCGCTTTTTAGGTCCCCAATATAGTACGGCACCCTTGTAAAAAGGACCCTGAAAGGGACCCTAGTTTAGAGAACTTCCCATATAGGTGCTGCATTACCCATAATAAGGAACAGGATGTATATCACCAACAGTAGTATAGGGAATCGCGGTGGTGGGTTTGGGGGTTGAAGGTTTCAAAATCTTTACTCAACCCCTAAAGCCCTTAAGCCCTCAGCCTAAAGCCCTTAACCTAGCGACTTTGTGCCTACTTAATGTCGGCTCCGTACTTTGGCTCTGGGCCGTGCTTTTTTTTAAATGGCCGCTGTTTGCCCCCAAAGGTACGATAGGGCTATAGGCTATAGGGTTCTACAACTTGTTAGACGGGTACTTCAGGGTACCATAGGGTTCTACACTTTCTGTCTCGAGTTCAACTCCAGCTCTGACCTGCTTCCTACAGTCCAAAAGCCTCCAAGCAAAGTGAAAGGGCAATTCTTCCTTGCTCCCTGAAGTTTATAAACCCTAACCACAGCATGATGTGTGGTGAAGGCCATCAGATCCGAGTACCATGATGCGGTTTCAGAGCCTGGGTCTTCTCCGGCATACGTTTGTGATTAGGATTTGCGTCACTATGTCCTTCGGATTTTGGCGCGTATGGACCTAAGACAGACCGTAGATCTGGAAGTACAGACCCAAACACAGGACTTCAAACCCACGTGAACAACCCTTCATATCCAGCGGCTCCCAGTGGTGTGCCTGTTTTGGTGATGATCCTGGAGTCGACTCGCGAGACTTTGGAAGGCGAAGGAGGGTTTAGGGGTTTAGGGTTTAGGGTTGTACCCAGTGTAGCCGCCCTGCTCTCCATCTGCCAGTGACGGCTCTGCCTCTTCTGAAGCCGGAAGATACCAAGGCCCGGGCAGCCACGCTCTGCTCGGAGCCCGATTTCACGTTGTCCCTTTCTCGCTCTTTTCCTACGCCGGATCGTGCGTGGCATTTTGTGACGTTGGACATCCGGAGCCGCTCATTGCCAGTGTTCTAAGCCCTAAACCCCAAACCCCCGAAACCCCTCAACCCCATAGGGTTTAGGGTTTGGGGTTCCACGGCTACCACGAACTACATCGAGAACTCGACGCTACAGGCTCGCAGCTGTGCTGTGGTCGAACACTTGGAGAATATTCCTGAGGAGCGTACTCGCGCAAAGCCGATAGAGCCGCTTCAGAATACAAGTGAAGATCGTTCATTGAAGCTCTCAGAGTACCATCTAGTAATGGATACACCTAAACCTCCTCTGGGTAAGCTCTAATTAAGTCTGGGTCTCCAGGGTCTAAGGGCTCCGGATGTTCCGCATCTCTGGTAAGGTTTAACATGCGTAACCGACCCTAAATTGCCCCCTTCCCCTCTCTTCCCCCACTGTCTCTGGGTAAGAAAAGAGTTCTTCACACCCCCCTCTTCCCCCACCTTCTCTGGGAAAGCAAAAGAGCCCTCCACACCAACCAAGGTGGGCTTGCTCAACATGCCAAAGCCGGAGGACGTCATTTTCAAAAGATGAGCGGAGAAAACAATGGCCGAAGATATCTGTCGGATGGTGTGTAGATTGTGGCCGCCGGTAGCAGAGAGGACTTACCGGAGTTGACAATTCATTCCTGAGTGAACAGTCTCCAAAACTTCTTAACTCAGGATATAATTGATATAGAGTTTAGATGAGGGAATAGACGATCCCTTTAAACTTGAAGGTATTATTGCTTAGTGCTTTACATTACGATGAGGGGTTCTGGATTGTAGTTAAGTTGTGCTGGCCTCTCTGGGCTTCACCGCAGTCATGACAGTTTAGGGGTTAGGGGTTTAGGGGTTTAGGGGTTAGGGGTTTGGGGTTCAGGGTTTAGGGTTTAGGGTTTATAGGATTTAGGACAGGATGTTTCTGGCCATCCGCGGCAGCAACACCGAAAACTAAGTTCTGCACACAAATGGCTCCGCTTCTTTCGTGGCTCAACATATGCAGGGCCGTTGCATGAAGCCGCATAGACAGCAATTGCTTTTGAAGACATAGAAGCCCCTAAACCATCATGATGTGCGGGATGATAGGACGAGAGGGCCAAGCAGCAAGACCACTCCACTCCGACTGCAGAGCCTTCCACACTCCAGCAGCAGGTGCCACTCTGTCGGGTTCAGGCTTTAGGGTTTAGGGTTCCTTAGATTCTAAATCTAGCACCTTGGAAACCCTACAATTCTCCCATGCATCCAGTTGCCTATATGGACCCTAAACCCTCAACCCTATATGGCACTTGTAGATCCTTCCGTGTCCTCAGTACCCTTCTTTTCAATCCCAGAGACTCGAGTCTTCTCGAAATTTACCCTGACAGACCTTATAACTTGAGGATTAAGCCCCTACATCAGAAATTTTTATTAAAAAAAAAAACTAAACCCTAAACCCTAAACCTTCAACCCCTAAACCTTCAACCTCTAAATCTCGAACTGTAAAACCCTAAACCCAAGCCTCCAACCCCGACATTCTTAAACCCTTGAATCTTGAACCGTAATTTAAAACCCCAAACCCTAAGGCCTGAACCCTAACCCCTGAACCCTAAACCCTGAACCCTAAACTTAAAACCCTAAACCCTAAACCCTGAACCCTAAACCCTAAAACTTGAACCTCGCAACCCTAAGCCGTACAGCTCTGAATGACCAACCTGCACTTCCCTCCATGCTAAACCGTACTTGCCGAACTGTGCAGGGAGGCTCGTCGACCGCTCTCGCCCATAGATCATGCTGGTACATGTAGGCGTGTTTTGTTTCAGGTGTTTTTTCGTGCTTTTGGTTAAGGGTTTGGGGCTCTGTAGGAGCTTTGATGTGTGTCTTTAGACTTAGAAGTCCATGGGCTAGCGCTTTTGGATCTTGAGGGGCTTTGAGAGGGCGTTAAGTTTGTTTATTCGATGTTACAGGAGGTTTTTAGTATCCGTGCCTTGTGTTTATTAGCTGTTAAAGTAGGTTTTTAGTATCCGTGCCTTTTGTTTATTAGATGTTACAGGAGGTTTTTAGTATCCGTGCCTTAAGCAGATTGGGCGTTATAGCGCGTAATAGAACTGCACATAGGGCTTTGCACGGTCCATGCAAAATCATACCTTTCCTGATGGTAACCTGGGGTGTCCGGAAAGTGATGGATCCCCTTGTAGAGGCCTTCATAGTAAGGATCTTGCCATCTAGGAGTTGGGGTGCTTCAAACGTACAACGTAGTTCTCTGCTGTGTTTGGCACACTGAGTGTTGGGGCTGAGTTCGGCATGCGAGTTGCCATCTTCGTTCTGCCTTCACAACCAAGCATAGTGGCTCGCAAGCAAGCCTCCAGGAGGTTGGACAGAACGTGCCGCAAAGGATGGACATGAATGGCGCCGCATGGTGGCAGATGCTGCTGCAGATACGTGAGAAACAAGAGCGCATGGAGTACATCCTGGCATCTATGCAGGAGAGCCAACAGCAAACGGCTGCCATGCTGACCCACATGTGCCGATGGTCGCCTGCGCAGCAGCAGCGAACGGTCGAGATGCCAAAGCTGTGGAGTTCTTCCTTCAAGCATTTTGCTAAGGCAGTGGCCCTGCTCTGTTTCGACGAAGATTGCACGGTGGTCTGGCAGAGGAGCTGGAGGGTTGCGCGCGAAAGAGCTCTTACCGACACCCAGTTGCCTGAATTGGGCACCGACCGTGATAAGCAGTTCGAGCATGTTGCGGCCATGGCATCGAGAGCATTCCGGCGCACCCTGGTCAAGGGTAGGTGGGACCAGCTGGGGAACGATCGCGTTGTGCCTGCCTTAGATCTTCTGGCCTCTGCCTTGGCCAATGCACTCGCGGAGGTGGAGCAGAGCTACCCGCAGTCTGCAGATGACCTTCTGCAGCAGGCCCTAAACCCTAAACCCTCAACCTAAACCCTAAACCCTACCTTAAGAACCCAAAACCTACTTTTCTGTAGGGTCCCTAGAAATCCCATATTAGGGTTTGTAATAAGAACCTACAAAAAAGTGGGTTTTGGGTTCTTAAGGTAAACCCTAAACCCTCAACCCTAAATCCTAAACCCTATAAACCCTGTAAGCCCTATAAACCCTACCTAAACCCTAAACCCTAAACCCTGAGGCACAGCGAGAACTTGGAGCAGCAAGCGAGGTGACCTGCAAGCGGCAGCTCCTGGAGAAGATCCAGAGCTTGCTTGAAACCCAAGGACTTCTGCAACTTAGTTCCCCAATAGGGTTTAGGGTTTAGGGTGTAGGGTTTAGGGTTTAGGGTTTAGGGCTTAGGGTTTTAGGCCCAACCTTTAAACTTTTTAAAATGGGGTTCTTATAGTTTAGTAGCAATCTGAAAGTTTAACCCTCATTATTTCCCCTAAACCCCCTGAACCCTAAACCCTAAGCTTATTGGGGAAGTAAGGCAAGGCTGTGGGAACTGTGGCCTTCCAACGCGCCGGGTCAGGCAGCTACTCGACTTTCTGCCTCTGGCGCCGTTGAAAGTTTGCCAGTTCCAAGATGGCGACGGTCTGACGAGTTCGGACTACCCGGCGGATCTGATGGCCTTCCTACAGGATTCCGCCCTGCCTTGGAAAGCTAGGGCCGAAGTCCACCTCGCCGACCTTCTCTGTAGAGTCTTCGTGAACTCTTCTGATGGTCCCGTGGAAAGGGACGCCATGAAAGTGGAGTGTGCGATTTTCGCGCCACTGGGTGACAAACCACCGGAGTACCTGATTCGCCGGCTGAAACTGGGCTTGCTCTCGCCGCTCTTTGCTCCGAACCAACTCTTCGCAGTGTCTCTGAGCCAAGTCTTCGCAGTGTCTGATAAGACGGATGTACGGCGCACGCGCTTTTCCAGGGACCGGGCGGTGGCAGATTTCGTGTGCGAAAACACCCCCATGGAGCTTCGTCTGGCAGTCTTCAACCTGTATGGCGCCATCAAGAAAGAGCCTGAGCTCGTAGACTTCTCCGGGATCCAAAGTGTCAATGAGATCACAAATCTTGATAGCGAGACCCGCCGGAGAATCTGGGATTCTATGAATGTAAAGATCACGTCTCCAGAAAGACACCTCGTCCAGTTGTTTTCCGAGGCAATACAAACATTCACGAAGTTGCCGCAGTCCAGTGCAAAGCCCAAGGTCGAGGAAGAGGAAAACATAAAAACGAAGGACGCAAGGGGTTCTTTCCTCCTGACTTACCGTAATGATGGGCTTGCTCGAATGGGAGTTTTCTAGATAAGAGGTTCCACCCGGAAGACGATCTCATTATTTCGGGCTTGCATTAAGCCCTTTGTTCTCTTTTGTTTACAGTACAGTAGATGTCAGTTGGTTCGCTTTCGCTGGTTTTGCGTAGAAGCTGGGAATACTTCGCCTTCGCTACACTATGACGGCATGCTTGTACACATGTTTTTCTGTTGCCAAAACCTATAGTCTCTGCGCGGCACATCCCTTTCACTTAGGGGTGCTTGATGTTTTCCCTTTTTGGCTTCTACAATCCCTAGGCAATTTTTGTAATGGTGCCAAGTTCAGCATAGGTCATATCTACAACACTGAGTCTGCCATACATATATATATATATATGTTTATATATAATATACACATAAGTTCACATAAGAGGTGTACATACAGTTTTTGGCGAGCGGCCATTGATCTAGCTGGGTTTTTGCATTTAGGCAGATTATGCATACAGTCTCTGTGCATGTATCCATGTGTGGTTTGTCCTGCTTGCCATGCTGCGTTAGTATATGCATGCAGCATGTGCGCGGTGTTGAACGTGAGTATGTTTGCTACAAAGCCATTGCTTGATAAGGTGTTGCATGTATGTATGCTTTTAGAGAAGCAATGAAGCAGTACACATAAAAAGCGACGACAGAAGACGTTTGCATGTCTCACATGCTGCTTCTGACGCGGTTTCCCAAATTTTATTCTGTGCTGCGCGGGGAGGCTCCTCTTAAGGCCTAGGCCTAGGTCTCGGCGTAGGCTCTGAATATGATGTTGTCTTGAGTCCATGTTTGCCTAGCTTGCACATCAAGGGAGCATGCTCCTGGTCACCAGCGTTCACAGCGCCGTGTTTTCTTGGGGTTTCTGCATAGCGGCCTCTGCAAGGACGCCAGCGAGTATGAGGCCGAAGGAGAAGCAAATGCCACCAGCTCCGATGAGGACACAGCAGGAAGCTTGTGCTCAGCCAGTGGCGACCTGGTCGACACGAAAGCACACCACGAACCAGCAGGATGCCGACATTCAGGACGTGGATTTGGATGTGAACATCATATGCAAATGGCCTGGGCACCCTGAGGTATGCTGGAGGGCTTCCGGGAATGAGCTGCTGCGGCAGCAAGTATTCATTTCCATGTCCACCGAGGCGCTCCGAACTGTCTCCCAAGTGCAAATGTTCGGCCCTCGTGCCGCTGCACCAGTTGGGCATGTCGCAAGTTCGAGCTTAGTGCCGGCAAGACATTGTGGGGTGCGCGGAGTGAGTAGTCGGTCATCGTTGACATGTTAGGAAGATGCACCCCGCAGCTTGCTGAGCTTTAAGTTACATCGGTTTTGCGTTGAACCAGTGCTGACCCACTGTGGCACAGCACCTGCAGCCTGCTTTGCCTTTCCTTCGGGTGCACTTGCCTGGCCCAAGTGCCTCTGCACCCACTGTTGGCATCGGCAAGTGCGGCCTGACAAGAGTTGCTTGGTTCATTTTCCGAAGCCCCTGAAACCCTCGTAGAACTGATGGAACACCTTTGGAAGCCCTGAGAAACCCTCATAGAAGGTAGCAGAAGCAAAGCTTGAGATTGCCATTTCTTGGATCTCGCGGTCCACCACGGCCGCCAAGCTGCAAGGCAATGGGCCCCACAGCTTCCCAACTCGGCGCGGTGCTGATCTGTTGCTTGGCCTGGAGTTGAGGGATTGGCGTGCAGGGCTCAGGGTCCGGGAGCTTTTCGATTGGGTTTCACTTTCTAGCTACTTCTTAGTGTATTGAACACAGCTTGTCTTCTCGTGACAAAGACACACAAATCATGTTTGATGTATTTTCCGCCGGAGTACCGATCATCAGGGAACAACTATCCGGTTTATTCGATTTTGATACTACTGAAAAGTTTCAGTTTCAGTTTTCAGAAGCATTGTGACACTTAGATGGAACATCGTAATGTTTGCATCATCGATGATATATCTAATGTGGCCGCCAGGTTAAGTGAGCGTGGGGTGTCCTCTTTTCTGCGTTTTTTTGATCGGGGCCGGCTGAGTTGTCTGTTGTTTGCTTCCTTTTTGCCGATGGTCAATCTTAAGGCACCCACAATTTGCTTCCCTGAAACCCGAAGCTCTCCCTAAACCCTGAACCCCCCTAACCCCTAAGCCCTAAAACCTTAACTCTACTGCATTAGCACTGTACCACTACTGTACTACTGTGCTGCTACTGTACACTGTACTACTGTACTTGGTCGATTGCGGAGGGGAGTGTATGAAAAAGCCTTCAACATGAAGGGTTTTTAGTCTCGGAGATATCTTGGAGTGACCGGGGCTTGGCTTGGAGCTTTTGTTGACCTCCAACCCCCCCGACCCGGGCATTCAGGAGAACCCAAACCCTGAGACCCTCCACCCAAACCCGGGGCCGGGGCCCTATTAAACAGGACGCCACATCAGATATAAATTCAGTGGAGTCTTACGATTGTTTATCCTAGACAATGTTGCATGCCGACCTCGTCTCCGGCTTTGGGGCGGGTGAAACTATCACATCCTTGCATATCTCTGAACTTACGCGCCTCTAGCTCTCTTAATGGTAGTAGGATGAGACCCCAAAACTTCTGAGCATTTGGGGTCTCGGTACTTCAATGATATCGTTGGTTAAATCGACGGGCTCCTTCTGTCTCTTTGTTTGAACCCATACTATCTAAGTCTGTCCATCCATCCTCGTCTTCGTCTCTGTACATGTGCTTGCGTTTGTTTGTTCTATCTTTGTATTCGTACTTGTGTCTGCCATTCGTGTGTGTTCTATTGGCAGATCTATCACGTCTTATCCACATCTGTTTATTTTTAATTTTGTGTTCACCCGAAACCATCTGACAGTTGCTCGTTTCCAGACTGGGGCAACCTAGGCAAGACACTAATTAGTAGGATCCTCCACTGCAAAGGCGAATAGAGGGGGATGCCTGATTGGCAGCAGCTCCCATTTCGCCCACAAAAGGGCTTCAAGTTCAGGCTTTGCATCCTCAATGATTCCGTTTGGAAACCCTTATAGAACCCGTCTTGATTCTAGAAGCGGCTGTAAATGCCACATATAAATCCACATGTCTTGAGAGAAGGTGAGTTGCCTCTCTTCTTGGAGTTAGCTTCTGCCAGTGGCTCCTTGTCTTTCGACCAACATTTTGGGCAAAAGAATTTGGTCGGGCACTTCATTCCCGCTAGTACTCAGGGCAGTGCTTAGGTCTTGCTCCTGACTACCGCTAGTACTTGGGGAAAGTAGGTTGGCCAGTGTGTCCAGCGCTCCCCCTGGTTTCCTGATTCTTTGTTGTCGTTTCCTGAGGGTTTCTTGGTGGTCCCCTGGTGTTTCCTCCTGCTGGTTTCGTGGCGTGCGTCTGACAGTCTCACCGGAAGTCTCATGGCGTCCTCGTGATGGTTGTGGACGTCTTGATGATAATGAGTCCGAAAGTCGACACCGAGAGATAGCTTACCTGTCTTAACATATTGAGAAACCTTAGGACAAGATGACAAGATTTAATTTTGCGAGTTATTGCGAGATTCGATGAAGTCTTTTAAGACCGCTACCCAAAGGGTACACTTGAAAATCGATAGTTTGTCTCTATGAACTCTTTGCTTCGCGAGTTGGGAGTGGTCGAGGGTGAGGCAAATTTCTGCTTACCAAAAGCTATGGTAGTCTTTTTCGTTGTGGTCGCGGTCGTTATGGTTACCGCGTGATCTAGGGATCCGGATTGACATGAAATATAAGTTTAAATGGATGCAAACAGGGATAGGCGGCTAATTTCGCGAATTTGGTTTTCGACTCTAGGACGGCGATGAGAAGGTGGAATCTTATAATAAGCGGACGGGCCGAGACGAGAACGAGGAAACATCAAAATTGAGACGATTTCGATAATAGAAGAGGTGTTTATATCTCTTTAGAAAGATGCTATCGAAGATACCAATCTAGTTGAAATTATAGAAAACTATTGGGAGAAAGGAGGGATGGAGGAAAAATAAATATATTGCTTGATTTCGAATTATTATGAATTCTAATTAATGATTAATTTATCTATATATATATATATATAATCGTCTCCTCTTTTTTGATTAAGCCGATTTTCTTATTAATTAGTTCTATATAATTTAAGATTTTAAGATATCTAATTTTAGAACCCGAATATATCGGTATTTATGATTTATTCTATATTTCATATATATATATATATATTTATTTATTTATTTATCTCTGATTCTTTTATATTATACAAAAATAAGTCGAAATCGAAGTTGGATTTTATTTCTGATTATATTATTGTACTCGTGATTTATTATATCGAGATTTTATATTCTGGTATTATCTTAGTCTTTATTCAGAAAAGCAAGAATTGATTTTCGTTATATTCTAAATGTATTCGAATAGAAGTAGAGGATTTCGAATTTCTTGTGTTGTCAAAAAAAATTCTTTATTTTAGTTTGTCTTTTGGAATGACTATTCTTGTTATTATTATTAGGATAAGCTAGGTTTTTATCTGGTAATAGTAAGAATTTAAAAATAAAAATTGGAAAAAAAAAAAATTCTCATTTCGATAAGGAATATGGAACTATGCCGGAATATTATTTTATCTTTTATGGGAGATAGAATGAAATGTCTCGAAGAATATTCGTTATAAAAGATTTGATTATGAGTAGGAATAAAAAAGTTCTTTTAGGTAATTTGTTCTTAGATATTAGTATTATTTTGAAAATATATACTTCTCTAGTTCTTTTATCTATGAGCGAATTAGTAAATATAGAAGATAATTTTTGATATTGGGGTGGAGTCGTTGTTTCTCATAATATATATATATATATATTATTGGCATCGTGAATTCATATTAGAACAACATATACTTATTTATATGCGAAGTTAGTTATAAGAGGCATAGGTCTTATTTATTTTTGGATTGGGTTTTAAAATTCCCCGCCACATTATTTCTATAGCATGGGAGGGACTAGGACTTGCATAAAGCAGCTATTTTATATAGATTGCGGGGGTTGGACCCCTTATTTTATAGAGGCGCTGCTTCTTGAAGAATTTCGGTTATCGGTGCTCGATTTCATGAGTGTCTGGAAAAGTTCTTTCCCAATCTTGGATTTCAAAATCTTTATCCCCTACTAACCAATATCATTTTAAGTTAATTCTCCCAAGTCTTGGGCAAGCATATACTCAGGTTAGACTCTTTTTTTTGATCTCAGAGGATGATTTGTGTTGGAAATTATTCCTTGGATCCAGGTCAATTTTCGGATTAAACATAGGGACGGACTCGAAATCCTGAAGCCCTAAAATCCCAGCCTGAAGCCTTGTATGTCTTGTGCGTACGTGACTGCTGGACATGAGTGGCCATTTTGGCCATACCATGATTCTTTATATATTGCGGTGGACATATGAAACTTGAAGACTTAGCACCAGGTGACTGATAGAATTCGTGCAAATTTTGGGTCCCAAATTTTGCGTGCCAGATCCAAACAGACCGCGTAGCATGCATAACAGCCCTGGAGCAACATGCGCTGCTGAACAAAAACGGGACGTGCTAGTGTGTCGTGCGGAGAAGCCTGATCCCAACCCGGGTCCGCCGGGAATGTCCCGAAGCCCAAAACACAGTCCAATCCCCTCTGCAAGAGGGGCGGCTCTTTCCTGAGACAGCGCACCAACCGCTTGAGCTGAAATGGAGGCAGTGTGCCAGTCCATTGGAGTTCAATATATACTGAGAAACTTTGCTCCACGGGGTTTAAGTATAAGAGAGACTATGGCGGATCATGGGTCGCCACTGCCTACTACACCTCCCAGCCGTTCATTAATGGCGATCCGAAAAACGACGACAACCTCTAATTCTGTGGCTCGTGATTCCCATTGTTGCTGCTGGTGCTGCTGCCCCTCTTGCATGCTCACTGCAATTTAAAGAACACTGACGGGCCTAACCCCAAAGCCCTACGCCCTCGCCCTAGGCCCCTGCTGCTGCGCAAATTTCCGCTTAAAGCCTTGTGTCTCTTGTATTGATCTGCCTAACGAAGCCTCCATGCCAAAATCCACAAGCCGCTAAATCAGTGAAAATCCAAAGCGCCCAAACCCTAACTCAAATTTCGTCGGGCAATGTCCGAATTACGAGCTTAACCCCCCAAACGCAGCAACTGCAAAACGTCAGATTAACATGCGAAGTAGCCCCTAGCCTAGTGCGATTTTTTGGCAGGGTTTGCTTACCGGACAATCAAGGCAAGCTTGCATGATTTGGAGGCCTTTTCAAATCTAACCAAAGGCTGAGGCCTCAAAAAATGACGTCGGGACCACTCATTTTATTGAGCGGTGGTTCTGCTAGGAATCCCCAAGGACTCCCCGGGGCCCAGACCGTGTCCCTCTATAAAATGAGGGGTCCCGACCCCCGGCCAGAATGTGAAGGGGGATGTTTTAAAAAAGTCAAAATTTAGTCGAGTTTTATAAAGAATTATTTGCGGATCATTCGAGAATTCGCGGCGTAATAATTATTATTAGTTTTATGAATCTATCGAAAAATTTCTATTATAGATAATATTTCGAAACAAAATAATGATTGTATTAAGCAAAAATTATAAGACGGCCGTCGGGAAAATCTTCTTTATCTAGATATTTAATAAGATTAGCTTGGATATTATTAGCATCTTCGATAGCGATATATGTATTGTATTCTAGTTTGACTATAGTAATTTAAAGAAAGGTATTAAGAATTCAAGATATCCGATTATTTTTTTTATTATATCGATATTATTAACTAAAACCCACACAATTGTTTCATCGGCAAGTAGACTGTATTTGTGCCATAATCCATGGTAAGAAATCCTTGTAAGACGGATCGTCTGCTACGTGTATATTCGATGTTAACCAAAAGTGTTATGTATGCGCGTAGCTCTAAATCTTTTTTCGGATAATAGTAGTCGTAACCACTTCAGCACGATCGGCGAACTCGATCACTGGAAGTATTTGACATAAATCACTCCCGAGGAGGACGACTTTGCCAGCAAATGGCGTATCATTGCCGTATAAATCCTGTGTCGACAGTATTTGCAGGTGCTGTACCGCCGGTGGCGTTCCAAGGTACGGCGTCTTTTGGAAGCGATACTGGAAATCCAAAACGAGTGCGGCATGTACGTGTTCAAGGAAGCAATAAGGCAGCGAGATTGGACCATACATATACTACTGTAATCTCGCCACGACCTCTCCCAAAATATAAGATTGCTTCAAATAGATAGGACTTACCGGTGCCGCCGGGACTATCTATAAAGAATAGATCCGTAGTCTGCGAGTGTATCGAAGCCGCGACCTCGTCGAAGATGCGCCGTTGCTCTGCGTTCAAGGAGCCAATTATTCGGCAATCTTCGGCATGCTCGAAAGCAGCGTCACAGGACAACTCTTCGCGCAATTCACGTAGACGGAAAGCTTCGGCATCGAGTCCCCGGCAGTGGCAGGCCGAAATCAGAAGTAGTCTTGCCTCAAGTCTACAGAAGGGATTGTATATATTGTAAGGTCGCATCAAGTGCCAATGCCTTTGGAAGTCGATGCAGGAAATCTTCTCAGAATCGGTCCTGAAAGGCCGTCCAAAGAGCACGAGGTTCGCCAATATCGTAACATGTCAGAATTACAACCAAGAATTTGAGTGCGCGAGCGGCAGGAGACATCCAGCACCTGCAACTAATGAGAATCGGAGTCGTAAAGTCCGCGAGCTGTGGCAGCAACTTGAAATATTTCAAACTGTTGTCCGTCGGCAAGTCGCAGATCTTCGAAGGACTGTGCACCGGGTATTTTGAGTAGCAGCAAGTATAAAAAGAATCTATCGCATTCTGTCAGTGAAACCTGTGCCAGGCGGCCAACCACGCGTTTCGCAGGAACAGCAGTGGCTTTGCGTAGTTTCCAGCAACGCGTCGCATTCTTTCATGAGCAATAGGGGGAGAGGTCGATATATATTTGCATCTTGATCTCTGATTGTGAATTCTCGTGGCGGAGCTCAGTGGTGAGGCCAAACCATGCCGTCAAGGTAGTTTTGGATCCTGCAGGCGCTTGCAGAGCAGCTTCTTCTTGCCCTGCAGCGAAGGTAACTACGTTCTCGTTTGGTAGATGGACACTCAAGCGCACGCAAGTGGGTGTAGATCCACTCAGCGGAAACTCGAAAATGCGTCATGCCGCTTCAGCAGCACCGGCATAGCGAGCATCAATATGGCGTGCGACCTCGTCGCTGTGAGCTGCAGCGTTACCGACCACGACGTCAGCTCGATCATGTCCCTTGAAAGCATATTTGTACATGTACTTGACCAAGCCTCAGTCGAGCACGTAAGCAGAAACCGACTTTAATCGAGTTGCAAAGAAGCAAACCTGAAACGGCAAGGCGCGAATACCAGTGACCACTTCGACATTAATATGCGCATCGTATTTCTTGGTCAAGAAGGGAGAGTAGGGCACGATATCACGGTTGTCCATGACATGTCCATTCTTATGAACAGTGATCCCTGTGTCTCGGCGCCGATACAAAGGATATTTGTCGGCTGCATGCACGTGAAATCATGGCATTCTTTGGGATAGTGGGCTTTGCAGCACGCTGCATCGTTCATGCAGGGTGCAGCTGGGTTGCGTTGTCCGCCTCGGAGATTGCAGAAGAACCATATTAAAGAACGCAAGATGGTTCCGGCAAGATAAATGCATATGAGGAGTAGGGTCCATGCAGCATGCAGCGATGCGTAATTGCACCGCACCCAGACAAGCGGCAGCTGGGTTAGAAGGGAGCTCAGCAACAACCCGCGAGTCAATGTCGTCGAGTGTTCGTGGAATAAGTAAGATGCGGGCATGGGGGAGGCCTCGCTTCTGGAACTCCACCACCCAGTTGCAAGCCACGCATTGACCGAAAATTCCGTGAACCTCGAGATCCTGGAGCAATTGTTTGAGTTTGATGCGGAATATGCGTGCAATAAGGTCTGGTCGATCACAAGCACAGTCCAGGAAGTAAATGCTGTACGACCTCTGGCCATACCGGATTGGCTATAAATATAATGAAATAGTCGGGCCGGCCGCAGCGACGCACAACAGCCAGTGCCTCGAGGTAGAGTTGGAAAATATTATGCGGGCTGCCTTCATAGGATGCAGGCAATATGATAAGGCGGTCATATCGACCAATACCGTCATCATCCTGCGCCAAGTAGTCCGCGATATCGCTGCGAGATTCGGCACGGAGCTTAGTCTGATTCGTCCGTAACCAAGTCATGCGGTGACCTTACATGCAACGAAAGGCGTCGACCACATACTGCTGGAAGAGGAGGCCGCCGCCGTGTGGAAGTGCGCAATCGAAATCACGCACTATGAGCCGGTGCGAATAAAATTGCGCCGGTGTGAGGCGCGTGTATTTGGGCGTGCGGTGCTCGACAGCATATTGCAAATGATCGTGCCATCCTGGTGTGCCTTGTGGAAACAGCAACGCATACGTCCAAGGATCGACGTGCTCGGAGCGGTCGGAGATCCGGTAAATAGGGTCGTCTGGTCGTCGCGACCATACCACCAAGTCTCGCGGGTCTATCACAGCGCCATCTTCTGAGCGGAAGACCACGGCAATTTCGCTTGCTTGTGGATGCTTATAACGACGAAGGTCCGTATCGGTTGCTGCAGCGAAGCCGAGTCGAAGAGCGGGACCCTGAGCAGCCTGAGGATCATTTATTTGTTTTTGCGCTTGGACTAGTAACATCACAATATAATGTCAGTCAGTGTGTGTGTCGCATACTGGCGTGCGTCGAGCGGCTCGTCGGTCGGGGTCCTGCCAGGCGAAGAAAGCAAAATAATATCATTGAGAGATTGAGCACGTGGCATGTCTTGTAGTCCTGCACAACTTCGCTCATGCGGCGGTAGGCAGCAATATAGGGATTGGCCTCACCTTCGAGCATAGCATCCAAATCGTGCAGGAGCCGGGCATCCAGCGTGTAGTTGCGTGTAGCTCGCAGACGGTTAGCTTCCTCCGCATCGAACAAATACATTTGTGCATACGTTGCTTCATATGGTAATTCAGCTTGCAAGCAGTAGCTGAGATGGTAGACTGCACCATGTACCAAACATACGGGTGGTGCTGGCCGAGCAGGCGTACCGGTCATGATTTCAAAATCTGCTCCCATACTGACGAACGATGATACAGCATTATAATGTCGTACAGCATCTCGAAAGTTGCGGGCCTGCTTGCTACGACCCAGTAGAAGTTGCTTGAGTTGTGTCGGGGCGTCAGGGACAAGCGGCAAGTTAGCAGCCTGTCCTCCGTGGCAGCATATAGTGGCTCGTGGCGGGCGGCCGACTTGTTCTTCTGGGAAGTTCAGTGATCCGCACAACTGGCAAGTATCGATCATTCCTTGCAGGATGGAAGTCTCGACATCTATGTCCTTGAAGGAGTCCAAAGTAATGAATGCAGCAGGTTTTGCAGCCGGTGCTGCTTGCACAATAGGAGCTGGCAGATCTGCGGGGAATGCCTCTGCGGCTGGATACAACCGACTGCGTTAACGCAGTTGCTGTTGTAATCGGGGCGCTGCGGGGGCGGCGTCGTGCAGCATCAGGTGACGATGGCAATAATCCCCCCAGGTCGAGCGGCACATGGACAGCCGGGCCATTGACAAGGCTTCCGCAAGGCGGATCGGCGTTGCACGCCTGCCTGTATGCTGCAGAAATGGCTGCTGGAGAGTTGCATGCATCAATAAGCATACCCATAGGGATTTACCGATGGCTGTAATCCAACTTGCAGTCATAGACAAACCATGCGCACATGGTCACGCATGATGCATGTCCAGCAATATCACGCGTGAAAAAGTTGTAATCGAGCTCTCAGCCCATTTGTGCCGGCGGAAGGAGCCCAAGGCCTTGGTGCAAGAGCTAACGATGCAAGTGCACGGCTGAACAAAGGACAAGGTGAGCAGGTTTTGCCGCATCTTTTTGCAGACGTCAAAGGCTCTCCTGAGGAAGAATGCGTAATAGGCGTTCCAATGCCAGGGCGCTATCACGCCCAGATTATAGCACAATCTGCGGGAGGCCCCGGAGCGTGTCCAGGAAGGCGGCCACAACGGAATCCGGGGGGGGGTGCGACGGTCAGACGCACGAGGGCGACGCTCTCGTGCAAGATGTCCTGCAAAATAGTTTGCAGAAAGAACTGATTGCCTTTCTCCGTGGAGAGATCTATGATGGGAACGGCACGAATATAGGGTTCGTCCGGTGTAGTTCGAGCGCCAACAACTCCATGCTTCTCAAAACTATCGCGGAATCCCCATATTTGCCCTGCAAACACTCCTTGGATAGTTGATTCTGTGAATTCTACCGAGAAAAGACATATCTGATTCCCTTGTGGGGGGCCAGCCTCGTCGTCACGGGCCAGGTGAACGATGGTTCAATGTTCGTGTCGGTTGTCCACGAGATTTGCATATTAGGAGGAAAGGCGGGGTCGTACTCTCGCCGAAATTCCACGAAGCCGTCAATTAAGCTGAGAGCATTCTGGACGTTGGCTTTTTTTTTTTCACGCGCCTTTTTACGAACGCAAAAGTGCCAAAAGTCCCAGTGCATCCTACACGCTACCTGTCCTGGTGGACTCCAGCACAGTCAGCCGGCAAGGGCAGCATTCAGCACGTCCCCGCGAGGAGCTCA